TATATATATATATATATATATATATATATATATATATATATATATATATATATATATATATATATAATGTCATATTGTACTCGCTTTCAGGTACTATTATTGGACATTTACCAGAATCAACACAAGAATTAATGACTCAAGCGACGCGTAGTTTTTATGATAATTTTGTGCCAGACTCAAAAAACCCATCCATTGTTGCATAGATATCCCATAGCTTTATCCTTTTCTTTTCATAAACTTTTCACGGACATAAATCTCATCAGAAGTGGATGATTTTTTTAGGTTCAAAAAAATCATCTTAGGATTTCCGATCCCTTTTGCTTTTCTTGGTGGGGATTCTTTTCTTATTCCATTGAGACTTCAATAATGCTGTACGCTTTGCTTTGAGAGTAATTCAATATAATAAACTATTTATTAAATAATAATTGTAAATATAAAAAGAAAGCATTTGCATGTTTTGTTTCTTACGCAACATATTCGAATAATCCATGTTCATATGAGATTCCTCTGGAACATCTGTAATGGACGTGATGTTTTTGCGGGATATTGTTCAACTGGATTCAAAGTTACTGCAAAAAATTGTTTGATGGAATGCAAATTCCTCTCTGTACCAATTAACTGGATACGAAGTTCCTTCGAAACTGAAGAACTGTTTCTTCACGAGGTTCAACAGGAAATTATGTATGTAAATGAATTAAAACAGGATATTTAGTAAATGGATAATTTATGTTAAGATCAATAAATCATTACATAAAGAGCATATTGATAGAATACAAATAAATAATATCATAAAGGCGCGAAAATATTTCCTTTATCCTGAATTATATGACGAATGAATTCCACGATAAGCATTTCAGTTTTCAAATTTTAAGCATTTCAATAATTCATGATGAAATTAATGTCCATTCTTCTTTACTTGGAAAATACAGCATATTAAATTGATTGTTAGAAATAATTAGTTACTTAGTCTGGGGAGGTTATGCCAGCAAAGTAACACTGCAAGAAAGATGAAAAAAATCGACTTGAAACGGTTTATTGGAAAAGTAGCTGATATTAATCAAGCAAAAGTTGAATTAAATTCAACAAAACATAAGTTCGAAACATTTTTTTTTCAAAATTTCCCGACATAATTTAAATAAGTTCGGCTGATTAATTTTAGGATAAAACAATCCTAAACATAACAATGATTAATATCATATTGCAAATTAATTTTCTTATGCATTATAAAGTGATAGGTTGATTTTAATACTTATGAATATCTGAGTTTTGATAAATATAATTAAATTAATTTTACAAACAATTAACCAACAAATGATAGTTTGATTAATAATTACTTTTTAGGATTATAAACAATCATTACAATCTTTAAAATGGTTGCTTTTGCAAAAAAAAATCACTCGACAAAATTTATTTCAATTGCATTGAATAAAAATAAAATTGAAAAAAAAAAAGGGAAAATTATGATTTCATAGCAATTATAGTTATGACAATTTCCAATTTTAGACAAAAATAAAAGTGGCATAAAAAGGTATTTTAAAAAATTATTATTTGATATTACTTTTCCGATTTAATAAATACAATAGCGGAGTTATTTTTTTATTACAATTGAGGTTGAACTTCCATTTAGTATTTTGTAATTTGACCTTTTCCCTCTTTTTTTTTTTATGAATAAATCTTTATTATAATTAATTTGTAATGAAATAATGAATGCGACATGTTTACTGCATTATGATAATTTTGATTACAGATAATATACAATAATGGTGGAGAGTATTTGAAAAGTATGTGCATTTTTTCTTTTTCTTTTTTTTTAAATTTAAATTAAAAGAAATATAGACAGAGAAATAATCAATAATAATGATATCATAAAGATAGCATTCGAAGCAAGAATATAAGTGAAAATAATGAAATGGAAAAAAAAGATGATGGCAATATTCTATTATTATTATTATTAATATTATTATGATTATCGCTATCATTATTGCTATTATTTTTATTATTGATCCAATTTTGATTAATTGATTGCTGTTGTTGTTGTTGTTGTTGTTGATTCATTCCTAATTTCCATTGATCTAATCGTGTTTTTGGCGCTGACTGACTATATGTAATAATTGGACTGGTACTACTTGCTCGTAATCGGATATAGTTTGGTTCCATTTTTAATTTATCATCTTTTTGTTGTTGACGAATTTTTTGCGCTAATTGCAAATCTGATTTTTTGAAATTTCGTTCGGTAATTTTAGTTTCAATAGTTTGTGATGCTGAGATCATCATTGTACTTGTTGCATGAGATAAAATAGGCTTTAATAATGAATTCGTTACCATTTTTGTATTCGATGATTTTTTATCATTTAATATAGCAGATTGTAAATGTGAATTTGGATAATGATTGAAAATAGTTGTCATACCGGAAATAGTTTTATAAGGTGAAGAATTATCAATAGATACTATTTTAGGTAATGTTTTTTTAGTACTATTAGTCATATTAACAGATGCTATTTCAGATATTAATTTAGTATCAGGAGTTGTATTAATGGATACTGCTTTAGATTCTGTTCCAATGATTGGAATTTCATCTATTTTAGAAGTAACAGAAACTGGATCAATAGATGATACTGCTTTAGTACTAGTTCTTGAAGTATTAGGAGCTGTATTATCAGCTATCATTCCAACGGTTGAACGAGTTGCCATTGTGTTTTTCATCATTGTTGAGATTGAAACTGATAAGTTAGTCAATAATACTTCCAACGATTTGCCATTCTCAAGATTTGGAGAATTTGTCGATTTTGATAAACTTGATGGGTTATTTCTGAAAATATTTAACTTATAAGTAAACTTTAGAATTTTAAAAATTTGAAAGAGATAGATAATTAAATTAGATTTTGAATAATTAATCAAATAGTAATAATTATCTAAGCATTACTAATCCATCAATCCAACATTCAAAATACAATGAATGACTTTTAATGACTAACAAGAGTAGTATATGTATTAAATATAGTTTAAGATTAAAATTTTCAAATGAATCCATGGATCAATTGATCCAATTAATTAAGCATACAGCTAAAATTCGAAATAATTTGAATAAATTATCTCATTTTTACACCTATCATATTTCAGTTTATGTGATAATTTCTCACCAATCTATCATGACATATTTAATATCGTAAAAATTATTCATCTAAATAATATCATAACAAATAGCCATATAAGAGAGATAAGATGATTCACAAGAATTTGTTGAAAAAAAAAATTAAAATTTAATTTTAAAAACAAATGAAAAGTTTATTTGAAAATTTTTACAAATACAAATTTTATTCATTCTTTGACTTTCATTCATAAATAATAATATTTGTAATAATATTAATATAAAAGAATATATAAATTTAACTTTTAAATGAAAAAAATTTGATACAATTCATAAGCTTAGGCTTATAATTAAGTTATAATTATTATAATTAATTAATTACTCTACCACTAATTACCACTTTTTTTCCTTTTTTTTCTTTTTGTTAGTTCCCTCTATTATTTGCATTTAATTAATTTCCATTTATTGAATTCGTTTTTTT